GGGGGAGGGTTGTGCATGTATCCGTATCTATAGGGAAGGAGTGCACAGCAAGAATATATAGACAGAGAGAAAAGGAAAGAGGTGAAACACGAGCATGGGGGGGCACAACCGGCTCAGCACATTTCAGGGAGGTCCAAACCAAGATGTCCTGCCCCATCTCCGCAGCAGGTTTGTTGAACGGTGAGATTTCGTCTACGGGGCTCCTGCGAAGCCCGTGCGTCCGCCTGGCGAGCCCTCCCTCTCCCCCCCCCCCCCCCAGCCGCTGCGCATCCCAATACAGGAGTGGGACTGCGTCCTGCTCTGGTAGGCACATCCGTGGCCACGCGTGCTCCCTTACGGGAGGGAAGGGAGAGCCAGCTGGGGCAGGAGAGCGGGGATCGTCCCCCCGTCCTCGGGCTGCAAGTGATGGGGAGGTGGCACACAAGGAAGGTCCCACCACCTCCTGCTGCTACAAGGTGAGACTCATCCTCGGTGGTGATGCCGGGGACCTTTCCAGCTCATCCCACTGTATTCTGGAGGCATCTTGAGTAGCTTCAGAAATCAGACTACTTTGTTTCGCTTTTAAGTTTGCTGTTGTTTGCATGAAATTGCTACACCTTTGGGTACTAGCTGTTCTACTACTTGATCAAAAACAAAAACAAAAAAAAAAAAATCCCCCCCCCCCCCCCAAAAAAAACACATGGTGGCACTCTGGGCGACAACCCCCATTTGAGTAAAGCTTGGTCACTAGCAGAGTTACGGTCCTTCACTCCAGAAGACCTGGACAGCCCAGTGGCCTAGCAGGAGCTGCCCAGGCCTTATGTGAAGCACATAGCATACAGCTTGCACCCATCCACACTGAAATTTATTTAGGGATCAAGAGAGAAATGTCAACCCTTGAATAGCAGCCAGAGCTCCACGTTCTAATTTAGGATTAAAAAAAAAACCCAAAAAACTGCTGCTGAACATCCTGGGAAGTCACTGTTTGTTAGATCCAGGGGGACCAAAACAGACAAAAACCCTACAGCAAATGCCTTCCAGGCCCTGGCAAGTTTTCGCACTAGCTTCACCTCCTAGCTGGGGTGTCCAAAACGGGTGTCTGCTCTGATGGTGTCCCCCACGGCTGTACACAGGAGCAAAAAGTCGGTCTGGGGAAGGGATGAGAAAAGGTAGAAGAACCCCCCGTTTGTTATCATAGAAAATAACCTACCTGTCCAAGAGATATTTGAAAACAATACTCAAAAGTCCTAGGCTGTACACAGACACAGGGAGGCTGTTTCATCCTTACTGTGAAGGGGATACCATGGTTGGGGGATGTTAACAGAGAATTGCTTTAACACTAAGAAAAGAGATTAAGCTTATAAACGAATACTATCTTCAAGTAATATCTGTATTTAACCTGCTCTTACTTTGTTTTTCTGAACTTTTTCCTTCCTGTCTCATCTCCTACTTTGCTCCTTTCCCCCTCCTCTTTAACTCTTTGCTCCCTCTGTTTCGCAGCTCACAGGATATCTTTCTAATATTGGAAATGTTTCTATTAGTGCAGCAACTTCCCCTACTGTTGTCCCCTTCCTTTCGCCCGCTCCTTTTCACTTGATATCCCTTTCACTTACTTACCTTTCCCTCTGTGGTCTCTTTTCACAGAGGAAAAAAAAATCCGAATGAGGTGCCCAGCAGGCAAATACTTTACATTTTAAATATGTAACTTTACCCAAAAAGAATCTACCCTGAGAAAAATGATTTAATAGGATGTTGATTCTGGAATATCCTTTTCCTACTTATAGCTCTTTATGCGATTTATTTCTCTTTAGAAGACTTTCCTTTACATGGCTCCGATATTAATATTCTTAAGCAGAGATGAGGTATTTCAGAAGTGCTGAAGGACGTAGAAGCCCTAAGGCCACTAACTCGCCCTGGGACGTCGGTTCCTAAATCTCCCGGGCCCTTAAACGAATAACCTCCTTCTGAAATACGGCATCTTTTGCTGACGTGACACTCTCATTATTATTCTATTCAAACACATTTCCATCACCTCACGACCAGACTGCATTTGTTTCTGAGGCTTTCTGCTTTCTCCAGGCCTGCCACTTCAATTTAAGGAGGCTGATAGCAAAGGAATATACTCACTCTCCCGCAGCTACCGTGAAAAGCTTTCCATAAACCAGCAAATTTGCAGTGACAGTGGCAGTGGTCAGAGGACGGAGAGTGTGCACCTCGGTGGATAAAGCCGCTTTAGCCGAGCACTGCAAAGACCTTGGGCTGTATTACACGGGGGTGAGCAGCGAGAGCAGGAAGGGGCCAGGATTTGGCCATAAGCTTCTCCATCCGGGGCGGTCGGGAGTGACAGGTAGCCGAGCAAGCAAACCTGGCCCTGGGGAGCTGGGGGTTAAGCACACCCGGCACAAAGAAAGCGATAAGGCTCCGGAGCTTGTGATATACTGGTTTCAGCCGAGCGGGAACAGATCAAGGCACAAGAGCAAGGAAAACTGCTGCGCGCTGCCCCAGGGGCATCAGTTGGCACGGCAGCAACTTGGGTAGAAAAGGGCTGCCCGGTACGCTGCGGGCTGCCAGCACCAGGCCTGCAGAGCCTGGCTTGCTGCTTGCTCACATGCTGCCTTCACAGGACAAAAAAACCCACCTATTTTTCCTCCGGCCATAAATGAAGGTGAAGGAGAGAACCAGGAATATATTTGCTTCTGGAACGCAACCTTCTTTCTAGGCTACGGCAAGGAGAAATGACTGTTCTCTGTTTTCCTTAGAGCAGAGCAGATCCTCTTTAGTAGTGTTTAATAGCTGGGAACAACTGATTGGTGGGAGTTGTTTTCATCACTTACCGAACAAACGGCAGAAAGGGAACTGCAAATCACACTTGAAGTGTAAAAATGCATATAATTACACACAAAACTTGGTGCCATGAAAACAGTTAATGGGAAACTAAAATTCTAGGCTACAGTCTGCATACGGGAACACAGTCTGAATCAGAGAAATGAAGATACACATGTACAGAGAGAGCCCTCCTCTAAAAACTGCTGGATGAAGAGAAAAGCAGAGGGCCGTGGCTGAACAGGGGATCCAGAGGTTCACTCTCTCTGCCCCTCTCCTGTGCAAGTCAAACTCGCCCAGTAGAAAATCTGGTCCACTGCAGTAAGGAGCAGAGAAATATTTACAGGCGTTGTAATCGTTGCACTACAAAATTTCATTTTTTCTTTCCTGGTCTTGCAATCTTTACCACAGAAATAGAAATGAACATGGCTATTTGGTATAACAAATGCAGAAAGGGAACAGAATCAGCGCTCTGCGGAAGCAGCAGATTTTCTCTAAAGGCTAGTTTCACTCTGTATGTGATGGCATGGAATTCACTCAGAATATATTACCTTCTTTTTTCAGAGGCAAAAAACCCAACGCAGCATATCTGCGCATGTCAGAGAACTTGTATTTTGAGAAGAGAACCAAATATGGTTGAGTGCAATAGGTTAAAAATACCCCTCACGAGTCTATGCACCATGTGAAGGGTTTTTTAATGCTATTTGTGGGCCAAGGAAGAAAGAGGAACACAAAGTTACAGAGAGGTTGCAGCCACAAGACAAAATGGCATCAGCAAGATATATTTCACTTTCCAAATGACACCGTGAGAAAACAGATTAGGTAAATGCATCACATCATTAGCATACACAACTGACAAATCTCTGCTATTCAAAGGCAGAAAACAACTAGGAGGGTTTCATTACTTTTGTATTCCCGAGCAGGCACGCAGCAGATAAGTCACCTCGGTATACTTTTTGGAAGTGTAGAACTTAAATTAAATTAATCTAGCAAAGATATGAATATATGCTGGGCTGGACTCTGACTAAACAGATGTGGAAAGTCAGGAGTAACTCGATTGCCACAACAGCATCTTATCAGGGCGCAGGTCCATGTGCACTCTGGATAGCACAGGGCAGACCTTCTCCTCCAGCCCCTGTTTATACCTGTACTTAACTTTAAATATACTCTCCAGTCCTCTTTAATTCACTGTGGTTAAGCATGAGCTGAAGTACTGTCTCAGAAAAGGATGGATTTCAGCACAGGCTCAGATGTTTTCCTGAGACATAGTCTAAGGGAAAAAACATCCCAGATCTGGATGCAGAGAGACTTCTCGACACACAGGTCCCATGCGAGAGAGCGAGGAGGAGGAGGGTGAAGCAGGGGGGAGGTGAAAGAAGGGGAGCTGCCACGGGGCGGATGCTCCTGGGCACAGTCCCCATCCCCTGGCAAGGTGACAGCCCGGGAAGGCAGACGCCAGCCCTCTGCTGCCTGGCTGAGGTGGCTTAGGGATGGCAACGCCCTCCAGCCTGCTCCTCAGAGCAGGCCTTCAGCAGGTCCCCACTCACAAAACAAAAGGGGAATCATCACAGAGCTTTCCTCACCACACCTGGAGATTTGTCTCTTTAAACCAGTGGCGGCGATCCAAGGGTCCTCCCTGAACTGGACTGAAATTTGCTCCCTCTACATCATACCTCCTCCCGCTCAGGGACCTGCGAGCTCCTTGGCTTTGCAGACATCTCTAGGGAATAACCAACCGGTTGGCAACCCCCAGCCAGGGACAACTGCTCGGCTTCCTTTCCTGTCTCGGATCTCACACGTCGCTCTCCACATTGACCTTAGATGTGGCAGCTCCCCCTCGGCGCCCACCCGCGCTTCTCTCCCCAACGCGCTCCCCGCGGCGGCAGGGCTGGTGCTCCCGCGCCCCCACTTTGCGCCAGCTCGTGTGCCGACTTCCTTCGTTATTGCCGGGGCCGGCGTCTCCCAGGCTGTGCCGCAGTCAGATGGAGAATTTTGATTACAAAACGGCTAATTAGGAGAATAAATGTTAGTGGGGTCCTAAACGTGACATATAACCCCGTTTCGACGATGCCACCTTCGCCACATGAAGGATTATGGAAGCCCCCGTTCCTCCCGGGACGCGAACAGCCCAGGAGACGCAACTGCCTTACCAACAGACTCTCGTGATGCACATCATTTCCCTTCCGTGTTTCCTAGCATATGGAGATACTAAAAGTCCCATCTTACATATGTAATAGTTCAGGCTTTATTATTACTATTACTGTTACCAGTGGCAGTACACCTACATATAAACATGAGAAATCAATAGAGAAGAGAATGAGAAAGGTTCACTCTAAAACGTCATCTGCTATTTCATTATTTTTATGTGGGTCTGTGAGAAGTTTGAAGAAGCTGCTTTTTGGACACAGCCAGCTGTAGCAGTTGAGCTGTAAAATGCTCAAGCCAGCGCTCCTTTGAATCCCAGACGTGAATAAACTGTAGCCCTGCTTTTTCTCCTGTCCTTACCACGTTTCCAGGGCACAGAGTCTCTGCTGCCCATCAAACACGACTTTACGGTCCACCTGCCACACAACCCTTCACCCTCAACGCTGGGTGTGCGCGAGGCACCCTTCACCCTGCACTGCACGCTGTCCCCCGCAGAGCCCGTCACTATCCAGCACGGGCACAACAGCCCCGGGGCGCTTCTCTTGCTTCAGGACCCCAACAGCAGACCCAGAGGGAAAACCGCATGGGGACAGGGACGAAGCTCCCGTCGCAGCGGGCTGCAAGCAGCCTGGCCACTGCCTTGCACTGCAGGTCCAGAAGCCAAGGGAAACCCTGGCACACGATCACAGCTCCCACTGGTCAGAGGACTCACGCCAAATTTGAAAGCGAAGGGGTGGGAAGGGGGCATGGCAAGGGGTCCCAAATCCAGGCAGCAATCTAGGAGCAGCCATACAGCAGGCTGGGCATGACAACGGCACATTACATCCCCGGCATCCTTTTCCCTCAAGTTAGAGCCTTTCAAGATGTCCAAGAGCCTCCATCCTGTACATAGTTTTTCCTCTCCTGGCTCTCTCCCTCTCTTTTGCAGAAGGTTATCCCCTGTTTTTGGCTGGACCCCTCCACCAGGAAAGCACATGGCTCCTGTATCTTCCCAGTTCCTGCCATCCAGATGAACCCTCCTGAGCTCCCTTTTGTCAGGGGACTCCCTCATCACCTTTGCCAGGTGATCAAAGTCCTAAGGGAGGGACTGTTGCTTGTCACCTTCTCTGGCACGCAGACTTAAACTTACACTTAGGTTCAGCGATCCCCTGCTATCGGTGCTGTACCAACTGCAAAACGGTTTTCTCTTTCCTTCTGCACCTTGCAGCTCATGAATCATGAAAAGGCCACCAGCCCCTCATCCACAACATAGCTTGCAGCGCGCTAAAGGTCTGGGAACTCATCAAACGCGCACAAGAGATTTCCCCAAACAATCACAGTGCTCAAAGGAAAAAACGTAGTTTCAAGTGCATCAGTCTCTCTATTTACAGGGGCACTTCACATTGCCGTTCTTCAAACGCCAAGCCCTTGCCCTGCTACAGGCACACGCTCATCGGATTGCATCAATTGCTAGGGAGAGGACTGGCCTGATGGTTTGCATCATGACGGGGACCGAGAAATTCATGAGTATTAATCATATTCAGATGCGAGTTCCTGCTGTGGTCTTGGACACTTTTTGCTGTTCCTCCCTCAGATACACCAGCTGCAAAGTGGACACAGGTGTAGAGACCTGACTTGACTTTTAACTTAAAGGACAACTGTCAGGTTTAATTATTACAATTCATTTGCACAACTTCTGCTTGTAGGATCCTCAGTTATTCAGGAGGATGCTGTTGTGCTAGGTGTTTAATTTGTTCACTCACTCCAGCAAAGGAGCAGTGACTGCAAACCTATGTGATAATGGCAACCAAAGCACTATATACAATTGACTGCTCTTTACAACTGCGATTGCAACACAGTAAAAAGAGTTAGCAGCGCTACTGAAAAGTGGAAGGCTATAATTATATAAGAAAAAGCCTGCCTAGACAAAGGTAGAGAGATGTTTTATTTTACAGACATGAGTCAGCAAATTCAAAATTATGAAGGGATCCTTACATCTCCATCCTGTCTTTTTTTTTGACGAAAATCCCAATATATGAATTGCAAAGCATTCTCAATTCTGACATTTTTCATTTAGGAAAAAACAGTAAAACCATATACACAGTGCCAGTCCATTTTTGGTGTCACTGAAGCATAAAAAAGCATGTTTTTCCAATGTTTAGCATGCATTTCATATAGTGTTTGAGGCTACAAAAAGGCATATTGTATCTTTATACCCTAAGTTACTCGTCTCTGAAGAGAACAAATATTTTTTGATACATGTAGAAGTCTGTCAGCCCTGAACGTGCACGGGGACCCAACAGTGCTGATTCATCTACGAGGCGAGGCCATGGCACATGAATTCACACAGATACCCAACGTTAGGCAATTCTTCTGTTACTCCTGAATCAGAGCTAAGGGTGACCCAAGGAACCAGCCTCTGAAAAAGCCAAATCTGCATTTTATTCAGACCAAAGGATCAATTCTTCTCACTGTCATGCAAGTGTCATCGAACTGAGTAAGAACAGGCCCTGTCTAAGTGGAGGGAGGATGTAGACTTAGGCTTTAATGTATCAAGACTTCAATGCTTCAGTCTAACACAAGGAAATCTGCAAGTCAAGTTTCTGAACTCGCACTCAGTGTTTGAACGTGCAATCCCTGTTGTCTCTCCGGCATTAAAAACATTAATGGCTGAGACTTGAAACGCAATCAAGTCAAAGCGATGACTTGTCCAGCCACTACAACGGGGAAATATTTCACAGGCAGTTTGACATCTAATTTAACACAACTCACCGTGATATAAACACACGGAAAGGAGCCAACGCTACAAGTGCTGACGACAGTGCAGCTCAGAACGTCCCGGTCAACATGCTGTTCTCTTAACGCTGCACAGAATTTTCTCCATTTAAAAAATCCTATCGCAATCACATGGACAGCCTAAGTCTGGCCCGATAGATTAGATTTAGAATACAGCCCACATCCAGTAAGGATATACTGTCTGACAGCAGAGCTACAAATGCTGCCTAAACTATTTCTTGTAACATGTGCAACCTAGCATGCAGCAGACAGCTGCCAATACCATTTTTGCAGGGATTTTTTAAAAGCAGGAAGTTTGACACTTAGGATGCACATCTAGAGGATTTACCTAAGGCTAAATTTGGGATCTCTTTTCAGTGGCTCTCAGACAAATCAACCATGATACTAACTTTGACTTCAGTGAAGCCAAGCTTTACCAGCTGAGGTTTTCAATTAAACGGTGGTTCAAACAGGCCCTTTATACGAGGGTATGCCATAGTGGCAATCAGGCACGTGCAATTCTGTCTTTGGATACACACTGCAGGATGAATAAGGTTTCATACCAGGACTTCCATATTCCCATTTTTCCAAGTGAGGTGCAGCACTAGAAGTTTACCTGTTATTATTCATCAGCATTCCCAATTATTCACTCTACTTTTTGCTGGCCTCGCCTCGAGACTGGTCTACCCGTGGAGTTTGTACCACGCAACGGTTTAAAGTAGGGACATATTTCCCTAGTTATCTGATTACCAAAATGGTTATAGGGGTTTAATCTGCACTACGGACACAAGCGTACCTGTTACGAAGGTGCTTTGAAGAAGTTTAGCTTATTTTACGCCAGTGGAACACGCTTGCCATTAAGGGGGTTTCGTTACATGAGTTAGCCAGGTACATCAATAACTGTTCAAAGCACAAAACAAAATTCAGATGATAACCTGAACCCTTCCTATTAACCGGAATTAACTACAGGCTGCAATTCACATGTATGTGTACACACAGGGGAAGCATATATCTGCACGTGCGTGTGCATGTAAGGTAGGCAGGAATATAATAAGCAAGAAACGGTCCCTGGGAGTTTAAGGGATTGCTCTACCTTCAGGGAAAAAGTAGTGAAGGGAAGAGAAAAGGAGGCTGAAAACAGGCAAGTATCTATCAAACGAATTAAGACTTGAGGGGATAAGGCAAAGGCCACCACACTGTACAGCGCGTTACTGCTCGCCCAAGGAACAGCGGCAGAAGAAGGAAATTTGTTGCCTGGTGAACAAAATTAACGGCTGCTTCTGAGCGGGCTGAGCTGCTGAGCTGCCGTTTCTCAATGGGCTGCTAATGGGGAACGTGGAGAGTTAGGAAGTAATGAGGACTTTGTCAATACAGCTGTGGATAAAAGGGGGTAAGGAACCACTTAAGGAAGAAAAACATCACACAAATCTGCAACTACAGATTCTGTGCTTTCCGGTGCTTAAGAAATTACTTGTAATAATTTTGGAAGTGTTATAGAGACTGAGAGGGAAAACATAACCACGGGACAGATTCTTTTATTAAACCAGAAGCAGTAAGAAAGAAAGAAATCTTGGCAACGGCAGTCTCATCTACGATTCCTTCCTCTTTTATTTCTAAAATTCCCAGGAAAGCAAAAGAACAAACAGACCTAAATAATTTGTGGCCACCCGCAGGGGGAGGCACCAGAGGCAGCACCCGACCCAGGACCACCGTCTCCATCGCACCCCAGCCAGGGGTATTAGCGAAGGGTAGCCCCACGCAAACCAGTCCAAACCCTCCCTCCCCGTACCTCCAATGGCCTGCCCAGCGCCAGCCAAAATAGCCATCTATACAGTACCCAAGGCCATTAGGTAAGACATCCCCAGCGTGACGGGCTTGTGTTACTACCAACAGCCCAAGAGCTGCCAGGTTTGTTTACAATTGCCAACCACATGGCCAAAAAAAGCACAGCACTTCTTCAAAACTGATCAGATTGAAAGACGTATATGAATCGGGGAGGGGGGAGGTTACACGACTGTCGTCTTCTCGTTGGGCTTTTTTTGGCGTCTAGGAAACAGGGAATCTTCTCCAGATTTCCCAAGAAGCCCTGGCCCCTTTCTGCCCCCTCTCCCCCTGCAAAAGCCCCGCAATATAATTGTTCCTCCCCTTTTTATTTCATGCAAACAAAGATAAATCCTGGTATAAATACACTGCATTCTTATTTCTTTACCTCTGTGAAGGGCAAACACAGAGATATGCTCCCTAGAAACCAAGGGCCAGATTTATCCAAAGGTAAACATTCGATTTTATGGGTCCCATAAGACTTTACGGGAGGTGCCGCTCCTTGCGCTACCAAGTGCTAAGCCAGGCAGGAGGGCTACCCCACCAGCCGCAAGGACGGTGCTCCAGGTCCTCTCCTGCACGCAGCTCCTGCAGAGGGACAAGCAGAACCTCCGCGGCTCCCGAATTCAAGCAGGTTCAGAGCTAGCGTCCAGGTGGAGCTGAGATAGGCAGGAACTATGTTAAACTGTGCAGCTGGGAAAAGCTCTCAAATGGCCACCAAGCCCTGCAAGAGCCTGAGGAGCACCCTGCAGCATCTCTGCAACCCTCTCCACCCCAGCCATGCGTGGTCAGAAGAAGAGGGGGCCAAAACAGCAGCCCAATTGTCTTTAAGTGAGCCAAGGACAACCGTCCTTTCATGCAAAAGTCTCTACGGCCAGATCCACGCTGTCTCTGGCTTCTTCGCACTAGCAGGGACACAAAGAGGCCAGGGAAGGGGGAAGTAATCTGGATCAGCTTTTTTTCTTTCTGTGCTTTTCCGAGCATAAAAGTAACTGCAACAGCCAAAGAAGAAGAGAGGAAAGGTAGAACTTAGATAAGGCATAAAGCTTGAAAACATTCAGAATATAAAAATGTCATGTTTAACAAACCCACTCCCTCATAAGGCATAAAAACCCATCACGAAAACTGAAAACACCAGAAATAAGTCATGGAATACAAAGCGTGCCTGCATATAAGGAGCAGCATTGATATTCTTTGATGGAAAATATGAAGGAAAGCTTCTCAAAGCATTAAATAGAAGTCAGTTTAACCAATTTCTCTTCCAAGACAGCACAGGATGGTTATATTCAGCTGGTAAAGCATGCTGTAGAACACAATTCAGTGGAAATATCTGGGCATATGCTTAACCCTGTATCACTTCCACTTGTGTTCTCTATAAAGCACTAAAGCATGTTTGATTAGGCAATAGAAGGAATATATGTTCCTTCCAGAATTGACCACAAGCTCTTGGCAATAACACTGAGTATTTACTTTGGCCCTAACCACATACCACAGTTGTTAACTGGCCTTCCAAGGAAGACGTTTTGCCAGACAGAATATTCAAAATAAAAGAGGAAGAAAAATTGCATCTGGCTTTATATAATCAGCATTTCAACCACGCTAACAAAGACAATATACATAGGATTATCTCAGAAGCAGGAAAACCTAATAAAGCAAATACTAGAAGTGAATTTTCTAATATTTCCGCCCTTTTCACTTTCTGTAGAAAAGTCTTTGGAAATTTTAAAAACTAGAGCCTGATTCTGGCTTCTTATTCGCCTTTATATTCCCTCTGGTTCCACCGATAATATTCCCACAGATGAGGACTACAGATCAGGTAAGGCTACTTTCTAATTTCAGTAAAGCTACTCCCTTTTTTGTGTAATACCAACCATGAACACTTCTGCTCATGAGTTAGACCATCAACAGTAACAAGGTCAGCTGAAAAACCATGGGGAAAAAAGTAACAATAACAAAATTCTGGATTCTTTTAATTTCCCTTCTGTTTTTTTCACACTTTGGAAACAACAGAGCAAAAAACTGAAGAACCTGCTCGCTTGAGTGACCCGAACTAGAAAAGAATCAGCATGCCATCCAAAGGCAAATGGCAAAATCCCCAGTAACGTCCTTAATGCCAAAGTTTTATCTTGTACGCTTTTCTATGAATCAGTATAACAATATTTCAATGAAGATATCATATCATAGGCCATTTACAATTACAGATATGATGAGATGCTCAAATGTGGCCTTTGGGATGCAGAGCTCCTCCTGAAACACTAATCAAGCTGTTGCATGTGTGGCTGTCAGGGCACGTGGGCAAATCAGTCCACATTTACCATGTGATATACAGACATATCCATCGGGATGCAAATGCGGGGTCCAGCTTGAAAAAGAAGCTTTCATTTGCACCATCCATCACAATACATATCCGAAAAATGAATATCCAGCAGTTTCCAAACACCGGTGGCTCCTCTCATCTCCTTACCGGTTACCCCTATTTCAGGGCTGGTGAGAAGCGAGGCAGGGAAATAGCACGACTTGCCTCAGGCCACAAGAAGAGGCAGAGCTGGCTCATGTTACTAGAGAGTTTGCTGGGTTTTTGACAAGAGATGACTTTATTTTCTTGGCCGGAAAGTTGTCCTGGTTCGTTTTTGCGGTGCCTCGATCTAGAACAGCTGTTCCCAGCTGAGCGATGGCAGGAGCTGCCCCACGCTGGGCATCGTGCCTGGGCAGTGAGGCAAAGGCAGGCAGCCTTTGGCCCTGCCTCCTCTGCTCCCCGCAAAGAGGTGGCAGCTCCGGACTCCGCGCCTGGCCACACACACATACACACATCTTTTCCTGCCTAGTGACGGCAGACGGGGGTTTATTTTTTCTTTTCCGAGCACGACACTGAAGTACCTTGCGTATCATCTGGCAGCCCCGGTGCTGCTTTCCGCAGAGAGTCTCCTCCTGCTTCTCATCTTGAGGAAGACCCTGAGCCAGAATCGAGCCTCACATTTGCCTTCCCTGCATTGCTTTCCTCTAGTTATCATCCAAGGGTGGACTAGAGCAACGGCGTCGGAGCCGGCCATGCCCTGAACAGCACAGCACGCCTCACCTGCCGGCCAGGAGACCCGCAGCCCCGCGGTTGCTCCTAGGCACGCGTCCCGCCTGGGCGCTCGGCACGGAGGGAGCCCGACGCGTTTAACGATCTGTTCTTTCTGCACACTACTCTATTCATTTTCCACTTCCCAAATTACAGCCGTAGAACCCTATTAACGTGTAGAAAAACACATTTAAGCCCAAATGTGTTAGGCTTCTAGAAATAGAACTTCTCATTTTCTTTTCCAAAACATAGAATAGCTGAGCAACAAAGAAAGAGAAAGGAAATCTCCACCAAGTGCACATCTGGAACCAATTTGCTGTCTGTAGCCACTGGGTGTCACTTTTGATATATATTGGGTCAGCTATGGAGCACTTCAGCAAGAGAAATGGTTTTCAAAAAGGTGATCCTAAACCAAAACAGACTGCTCTGTAGTCTCTTTGGCACAAGCTATAATTAGCCAGCAGTGCTGATTTATTAATGAAATGTCTTCTCAAAGATATTAAATACCATAAAGCAGCTCTTACCTTTCAGTCTGCAGTGTGACTTTTGACGGCTCCACGTTTGGGTTTTCCCACTCCATCTGCGGGCAATGCATAAAATAACAGAGCGTGTACAGGGCCTCCGGCTCCCAGTAGAGCGATCCCTGCTTCTGATGCATTGGCGTGCCGTTCCCGTGCTGCTTGGCATTGAGCGGCTGAAGGTGGTGCATTGCACGAGACACCAGGTCACCTGCAAAGGAAAAGCCAGGTGAGTACGGGGAGGCTGAATCCGTCTTCCCTTCCCGCGCACTGCTGACTCGTCCCCAAGTTTTCAAATAAAGAGACGCCTCTGGTTGTTTTTCCTTCTCATTTAACTTAGCATACATAAACAGTAAATGGTACAACAGGATCCTGTGCATTATTCATGTCCAGTTCTGAATTCATCTGTTGTTTGCACACCGCGGTGACATGCATGGGCTGTAGACAAGCCCCAGAAGGCCGGCGGGAGAAGTGTTTTCTGTGAACGCCCTGTCCTCAGTCACCACATGCAGCATCAAGACTAGCCCATCCCAGCTCCCAGCGCTGCCAGAAAGCAGGTACACCGGGGTCTGGATCACAGCAACCACCGAGGCAGCCCTGGGAGGCTGCCAAAACCCCCGAGTCCCAAAAATTACTAGTGAGGCAAAGGCAGAAAAGCACAGACAAAACCCCCGAGTCCCAAAAATTACTAGTGAGGACAAGGCAGAAAAGCACAGAGGCACAAATCTCTTATTTTCCCTCTACAAAGGCCGCATACTCATAGCCACATACAATGGCAGGGAAAGCCAGCCTCTTGCTAAGGGAAAGGAAGAGGTCGAATGGCACGCACACCGCCATGTGAACGTGTGTGAAGCGAAATTTGGGGTGAAGAAAAAGAGGGCAACCTCCTTGCTCTTACAGAGCATGCTGGCTGGTCTCCGGTGGGAGGAAAGGGCGGTGAGAGAGGAAGAACAAAAATAGAAAATGCTCTGCCCTATTTTATATTCACATTTCAACAGCAGCAACTGGCCTCTTCATCCAATGTCAGTCAGTCTCCCCGCCGGTAGCTGCTGCTTCACTGCCGTAGAGCATCTCGTCAGAACCACTTCTGATCACTCCTCCCCGCGATGGGAAGCGTGGAAGCCTCCTCCGTGTGTACCATCGAGTTGTGGGGTAGGTAGGCGTGCTCACCCCATCTGAACGCCGCCAGAGGTAATTTTAAAGGCAGTTACTAAAAATGAGCCGGCTGCACAGTGCACAGAGCTATGCTACGCCCAAGCGGGCGGCCACGCTTCCTGAATCCAACGGCGTGTTTTGCTATCGCGCAGAGGACCCGGGCACGCTCCAGCCCGTTGCTGCTGGCAAGCGGCGCAGCGTCAAGTCGTCCTCTTTACTCAAAGCGCTTGGCCAAACTCCACCCGCTTCTTCCATAGGTGCAACTTCCCCTGACACTGCGGGGCTTACACCTACGGATCCGAGAGCAGCCTTAGCCCCAGGACTCTGAAAAAACGACCTGTCAAACGCCATCAGACACACATAACTGAAATGGCAATTTTTACGCCCAGGCTGGGCCTCGAGGACTTCTTAACGTTCGCAAAACAGATAATCTGTGAAATAGACTCACTCGAGCGATTTAGGTTTCTAGAGAACAGAGTATGGCCCATTAAGGAAGATGTTCATTGTCTCTCACTATGATTATGCGGTTCTGAAAGTTTCCTTGCATTACAGACATGGGAATTAAACTGCAACATGCAGACCGCGATCAGCAAGCCCAGCAAATGAGATTAGGCTAGCAGACAGAGATGGACAGGCAAGCCAAACACAGCACTGATTGTAAGTAATTAACTACAACGCCTCCCTCGGAGGTCGTGAATTTTACAACCCTGTTTGACTAGTGACCACTATATAAAAGGTGGCGAAACAATTTTGGTTATAAGCTGCCTTTTTTCCACACGTTCAAATCATTGTGAAAATTCTTCTTTGGGGGAAAATAACGATCTCTGATCAAATCAGATGGTTTGTTTTCAAAGGAAATCTGAGCAAAAACCCTTCGGGTCATTGTTGAGCTACACAAAAGCAAGTAATAGGGAACAGAGGACACAATTTTCCAGGGCTAATAGAAAGTCACACATTTTCTATTATATGGTTTTCTCAAATGACCACTGAACACTGAAACTTGGAAGCAGAAGTTGGAAATTTACACTGAGGCAGGAGCATAAAACCAAATTTGAAAACAGAAAAAGGCTGAATAATGAACTTACGGGCAAACTTAAAAAGATCCACTTTGAACGTGCACCAGGCAGAGCTACAGGCTTTCTTCTTTTTTGTTTTTAAGTGAAGTCCCACCCCTGCTAATACATCACTGTACACCATCTCTGTCCAGCCTGACTTACACAGAGAAGGCTGCTGCCGCGATAATTTGCACCACGGAGAACAAAAACATCTCACCAAAAAATGCTCAGCCCAATCCTCCAAAAACACAGTCTTAAAACCATGAACAGAAGAAAAACCGCTGGCATGAGAAAACTGCCGAGTCCATGATTTTAGGGTTTTGACACAATTTTTGCTGCACTCTGCAATATTCTTCTGATTCAAAGCTTTCATTTAAAAATAGTTTCTGTCTTCTCTTTCTGCCAGGAAATTGTCATGATAGGACCAATCTTGCAGCCCGGCATGCTCATAATTTCCGAGAGAAGCTGTGCATGCGGAAAGCCTGCAGGATCAGGTCCACAGCAGAAACAGATGTGCCTCCGAGATGATTACCCAGGCCTGCATAAAATTAGCTGCAGGCAAACAGCAACAGCAGGAAAGTTTGGATCTCTCTTCTCTCATCCCGTTCTGTCACAGCAGATGTGCATTTCCAAGGCCAGCACAGGCCAGTTTAACTGCTAGCAATATTACTGATAGCAAACACAACGCTCTCTTTTTCTTCCAAAGGAAAATGGGTAAAATTGCTAATTGCAACATCCAGCTTTAACAGTGACAGTGAAAGCAGAGAGAAGAGAGTTGCAATAAATTCTTTTTTAGACCCAAGGCACCGAAGCATGTGCTTAAAGTTAAGCATATGACTAGTCTTATTTAAGCGGATTGAGATAGTACACATCGGAGACCTCCTTCACTTTCTGTACTGAATGATGAATGGAAATTGGGACACAATTTAGCTCAAGATTCAGTCAGCAACATTACTTCATCCATGTTCCATAGCAAGTGCTTGGGAGAGAAGAGTTTTGTGACACATTCGGCACTAGAGAAAAATGCATATTGAATAAGGAGAAAAGGAACTAGAAAGAGTGACGTGCGCAGGGCAGCCAGCTCAGCACCACTGCTGGTGCAACTCTGGAGAAACTGAAATCAACAGCAAAACCCCAATCAGCTTCAGTATGACCAGCATTCATCCTTTTCTTCTGGTATTTCCAGAACTGCGGCCTAAGAAACTCAAACTAATTCATGCCATTACAGTCAAACAAATGCTTTTTTAAAAAATGTATAAGCACTATTTGGTTATGTTGTACCCAGAATTGACCGGATTAGAACTTGATTTTGCCTTTTCTGAGATTTCTATGGTTACATCTGAAATAATTGCTACCTCAACAGTTCTTATAACATCATCTACCAGAGACAACTCAAGGCTTAAATAATCAATACCTATAAAGCATCAAGCTAGCAGACAGTAAGCAAGCTGCAGTAAAATGCTGCATTATGAACTTAGCCTACAGACAGAGAACTGGAGGCAGGAGGAGACGCTCTGGTTTCAATTTTATTCTGCTGTGCAACCTTGGAGAAGTCACTGCATCCTGCCTGGTCTCCTTTTCCTCCCCAACCACATCAAGATATGGTGCAAATTCTTCAGGGCAGAGATTGTGCTTTAGCGTATTTATGTACCAAGATCAGCACCAAGAAGGGAGTTGACTGGTGCACGCGCACTCTACGATAGTACTCCTGCGTACTCAGGAGCCTGCAGTGCAGCATACACCTGCGTGAGATGTGTGTTTATAGTTTTGGTCTCTACTACATATTGCTTCTTCTGTCCTTGCTTGCTAATATGCTCTTGTTTCTCCATTTTCTTCCAACAAAGAATATGCAAAGTTTAGTTGCTTCATTCCCTGACCTTGCAACTTGCTGTACATAGCCTGTTTTAATTCTGACCAGGGCACCCCGCCGACAGCCCCGAAGCCCAGGTACCCTTGTGCATGAAGCAAGCTCCATGCTGGGACTCACTGGTTTGGTCTCCGATGGACCAGCATACGTATCAGTCCCCTCACCTCCTCCACTCGGTCAGCCAGTCGAAGTCTCTGCTGGGAAACCCAGCCGGGCCTCCACACTGATATATGTGCTCTCCCTGTCGGCTGTAAAATCACAGTGTATCTGAACACCGACGGCAACCTAGAATCTGTCACCAAATATAGACAGGGAAACCCCTCATTCATCACCGTGTCTGCTGTCTCCGCTCTTCAGAGCTGTGTTCAGCTACAGGAAAGCTCTGCAAGGTGAGGCAACTTTCCTTCAGTGCAGCTGGCTCTTGTGAGCTCACACAGCTTGCAGGGTTTTGGTGTTTTACTTGCCACTCCTGATAGGTACAAACGTGAGAATCTCAGCTTCTGGTGAGAATAAAGGGCATCTTTTTTAGCCCTAAAAGCAAGTCTCAAAATGGGTCAACTGAGTGCATCTGAAAGGCCAATAAATTCCCCAGTGCATCACTGCCAAAGAGAAAAAAATCCCAGCGTTTGAGTCAGTCCTGTAATTCCAGAGAGGCTGCTGGCGGAGGCTGTGGCGTCATGGCACAAAGGGCTCGGTGGGGATTCCTGCCGCTCTGTCCCCAGCGCTCCTTCTCGCCCCAGGACCACGGCCTGCAACCAATCCGGAGAATACACTAGGGAACTGATCTGTCTGACAAAAAATCTTGCTAATTTCGTTTTGTTTTTAATTTAAACCAAATAAACACTTTTACAATTTTTGCAACCGAGGCCAAACGAGCCGCCACACAAATGGTTCTGCTAGCAAAACCGGGGAGAGGAAGACATCCCGTTGTGCAGGACGGACAAAAATGAACAGCGAAGCAGGAGGCTATTTTAGGCTACTTTTGTTGCCGAAACGTTTGCGCTATGAAGCCAGAACTGGAGGGTAGCCTTCCGGAGCGCAATGAAGAAGGCAGCAGCAACCCCCAGGCTGGCACTGCCTTACGGCCCTGGATCAGGGAGGAGAACAGCTCTGGCAATGCACACCTACGCTTGA